CATTCATACATATATATATATATATATATATATATATATATATATATATATAATCAATACTTATTTAAGGTCGGTCAATTACTCAGTTTCGCATAACTCTGTTTTGCTGAATACAGAGACGAATATAAATATGTAGATTAGGAATATGTATAAATGAATGTATGTACATACATATATATATTTTTATATACACTTCTGATAAGCCGTCTGCCACATATATGTACATATTTATACTTTCCCTTTAGTTTAACAATTAAAAATATAAACAAGCGAAATACATATGCATACTGTTAAGCATCAGAAAGAGCAACACTAAACTGCAGTCAGCGGCGGCATTTTCGGGGTGCCCAACGATCACCGAAATGCAAAAGCGACGCGGAAGCCAATAAAGGCAGAAAACTCAAGGCACAGATCAGCTCACACACATATAACACATTTATACAAACATACACGTACATAATTATGTATATAGGCATGTATAAATATGCTGTGGAAAGTGAATTCTAATTGTGTTTTATTGAATTTGCCTTTAAGTGGCACGCCTAATCACTCAGCCGGGCAACGCTGATTGATTAATTGACTTACCTTTGTGCCGCCATCGTTTGTATTGAGCTCCTTTAATACAGTGCGGCTGCCAAGGCTTAAGTTCATTTGTTGGCTATTTACAGCATCTGGTCCATTTAGTTCCATATCATCGAGGTTATATGGCAGTGAAAGCAAACAATTATACTTTTAAAAACAAAGAATATTAAGGAATTTCTACAGACTCTAGCACAACACGTTGGGGGAAAAAATGCCGCTACAATTTAAAGTCCGACGCACGGCAGAAGAAGAACACAACTGCAGAAATAACATATTTATAGCATGTTAACAACATTAGAGCATAAACTGGATTATAAAAGTTCTGCTCAGGTGAGTTTTTCCATTCAATACATTTGCTTCTAGTAAGAAAAATATTATAATATGTTTTTTATATTTTATCAACAATGGGTTTTAAATAAAAAGGCTGAATAAGTTTTTATTTTAAACTTAACAGCTACTATACTTAGTGTATCCAGTGAGTTTTAACAGAAAAGCAACAGAATTATTTGAGCACATCTGTTTTTTAACCTTATCGATAGTGGTACACAGGTATCGATATTAAATAGACTGTTTCTGTTATCAAAACATATAACAGAGTTGCGGGCATAACAACGGCGCCAATTTTAAAAAGGAAACATGTAAATTTTAATGAGTTATTTGGTATGATTTATTAAAAAAATATTTCTCTTTCCATGAATAACATTCCATATACTAACCATAATTATTTAACATTCAACTAGATTTCAGGCGAATTCATTTGCAAAAATATATATATATGCTAATTTTCTTTATATAGTAATTAATTTAAGAAATTACTTAATAAAATTAAAACACTACTAAAGTAATTAAATATATTAAAAAATTAGCTTCATTCTCTATGCTGCACTTGATAATACATAATGGTATTGAAGTAATTTAATTTGAATTTAATGTGTAGAATTATTATTGTTGTAGTTAATTAATAAAGAATTAAATGTAAATACTTAATATATGTCTTTTCAAGTTATTCTCTCCAGGTGTTTGCAACACAATCACTTCAATGTGGAACAGCCCTAGGTTACTCAAAATGATATATAAATATAATTATATTTATATATTAACATCAGTTTGGTTGATATAAGTTTATAGGAAACAATGCTTTCTACTACATCGATAAGTAACTATATTGTTGGATTTGAGACATATATAACATTACATTCATTGAGGATAAGTTATCTGGTTATTTTTAATACTGAGCTGCTCTCGGCATGTTCCACTTTTCATTAACTAACTAAGGTCTTTATATTATATATGGCTATGCTCATGCTATTATATTTAGATCCATATTCAGGGTCTTTTCGGTTTCAAACAGCAAAAGTTACGTTTTTCGATTGATCGAAAATATTATTTAAATTGCAAACTATACGCATATACGTATGTATACTGGATATATACATAGAACTTAAAGTTATTCAATCTATGAGTTTACCAGAGCATCTTTTCTTTTAATTGAAATGTTAGCTTTAAGCTTAAAAGATTCACTACTTAAAAAGTTATCTTTGACATCTAAGATAGTTATTATTGTTACATCGATTTCTTCTCATTTTTTGAGCATTGATTTTTAGTTCGTTTTGTAAATTGTGCTCGATTTTTTCGGTATAGTATAGGGCGAATAGCGCTTGAACTTTGCTTACAAATGTCAAAAAGTTTCATTTTTACGCGAATTATAAAATTTGGATTCTAGACGAATCTAGATAGTAATATTTATACATATATACACTTATACATATATATAACATATATATATATATAGCACAAAAGACTTGTTTATAGAGTATATCAAATTTTGTAGACTGTGTTCAATTGTATAATTCACAGCAAGTTCAAAGTCGTAAATCCATTCCAAATATCTATTCTTGCACAATTCCAGCAGTTGTCTTGGTTTCCCTAACCGTCAATCAACACATATAGTTGTGTATTTAATCACATTGGTGGGACATCCTCGTGCATTTTTGTCGTCCAAATGCCGGGCATCAGCTGTGGTGGTAAATTCGACTGCGGTGTGGTCAATTTCCTAAACGTATTGGTAGAATAGATGGTATTGCTGGTATTGGAACTGGGCTCATAGCCTTTGTTGTCCAATCCATCGATGACAGTGAACTGTGCGGCCATGTTCTGGGCGCCCTGGGACACGGGCGAGGCGGGACGCGAGATGGGATGCGTGCGTGGACCACTGATCAAAGACATGCAGACGCCACCAATGACCGCTAGTGCCGTGTATGCGGTCTGTGGTATTAGTTGGCCAATCACAACGGTGGAGCCAATGAACGGAGCACCCAGTAGCCAGAATCGGGCCCAGCATATTGTCGAAAAGGCAGCTATCTTGCGTTTCTCTGGGCTCACTAGCTCCACGGTGCTGGTGGTCAGAATGGAAAGCGAAGTGGATATGGCCATTTTGGACACCATAGCCGTGCACATAAGCATCGCAACGTTGGCATCTAGAGAAACGACGCCTGGCTTGGGCACTAGCCAACAGCACCACGCAAAACAACCAGCCACAATATTGAAGATGCCGGCCCAGAGCCATTTGCGTGTGGTGTTCATGATTAAATAGAGTCCAATGAATGTGCCAATCATCTCACTAAAGCCAGCCACAAATGTGTTGATGAACAGATGGTCACGACTGAACGACCGTATGTTCAGCAGGCAGCCATAATAGACGCTGATGTATAGCGACCATGCCAGATGTACGCAGATCATGTGCCGCACTGCCTTCTCACCTTTCCAAATGGACCACCAGCCCGCTGGAGGCGGTGCATCCATGGCCGTTTGTGCCTGTAGCTCTAGCTGCTGGTCAATGTCGTGGGGCAAACTGAGTCGTGTGCCATTCATCTCGGCACACTCAAGCAAAATCTTTTTGGCATCCTGCACGCGACCGCGTTCTATCATCCAACGCGGGGAATCGGGGATCCATCTGCAAATTCATTTAATATAATTAAGATTCTCTTCATTCGATTTATATAAATACAATTGTTTTCATCTCTACAATATTCGTTCAGCGTTGCCACCTAGACATAATACACAGCTTTTACAGCAGCAAGGCAAAAGTGATGCATTTCTTCGAGTTCGAATTCGAATTAGAGTTTGAAATAAGCCGTTGCTATAAATATACGCTTTATGGTTTATTATACTTACTGCCAAAGGTAAATGAGTATTACTGTGGGCCAAGAGATGGCCATATAGAGATGCGACCAGCTGGACCAAAAGCTGGCCAATCCCGGTAACATCATAACTCCAATAGACCAGAATTGTTCGAACAGCGTTGACACATACGTGCGATATTTGCCACCAGTGATGTCCGCCACTAAAATACAAACATTGTTTAAGCGTGCTATCTATCGATAGTCGTGTTAGTGCTTTTGGATATTAACTTACTTATCATGCCGCCGGCGGTGTACATCTGAGCGCAGCAGACAGCGGAGAGACATCGGAAGAAGACATGAAGCTCATAGGAAGACACATGACCAGTTAGATTTCCACAGAATATTTGTGTTATCATGCCGAAGAGCATCACGCTGCGTGGACTGAAGCTGCAGTTCGCAAGCAACAAACAGAGTGGGAGGCAGAGAAGAGAGAGAGAGAGAGAAAGAAATTAGTTGGAATATCAATTCGATGGCATCCAATTGGACCTACTATTTTAAAAGGTGATTGGCCAATATTCCGCCCGTGAGCACCCCGAACAAGTGGAAGAACTGCGTTACGGACACGAGTATATCGCGGGAGCAGACGAGATCGTATTGGGTGACCACCGAGTGGTAAGTGCTTGCATGCTGAAACTCCGTGCAGGGTATAACAGATGCGTTGCGATGAAGTGGCTTCTCCCAAATGACCGGCTCCTGGGAGCGGTCTTCATAGTTATAGTAGTGATGAGCGTGCTGCTGGGCATCCTCGTACACATTACAAAAATCAATGGTGAACTCCTGATCTTCCTTCTCCTCCTTTTGGGGATGCGACACCTTGATCCATTCCGTTTGATTCTCGACGCCAAGCTCGGGCGGCGGCTTGCAAAAGAATTCACCATGGCGGGGTGCAGGCGCCGTGAAAATGATGCAAGCCATAAACCAGGAGGAGGGTATTTTGCACAGAAAGATTAAGAGTACTGTGCGCAGTTGCCACTTGCCCCAATGGCCGGTGATTTGGCCCACTGCATCCACTTTGCTTTGCATTTTGGTATTTGGCTTCGGTTGCTTGCCCTCGAGGCGTTCGAAAGTGTCTTGCGGGTAGAGTTCGAATTCTTGTGTGGGTTTATGATTTGGTGTTTGTCCGCCGAGCGGGGTGTAGAACACTTCCTCGTTGTTGTTGTTGTTGTTGGGCTCACAATGTTCAAAGGTGAGCGTGGACGTGAGCGAAGGTGACGGCGTGGGCGAAGGATTGGGCGAGGAATAGTTGGTCAGCGAGTTGACACTTAGACACCTCTTGGACGCATTCGTAAGCGGTGATTCACTAACAACTACGTTATACTGGCCACGGGATGGCGTTGATGATATGTGCGGTTTGGTTACGTATATAGGTGTGTTACTGGGGGTCTTGAATGGCGTCGACTCGTCCTCCTTCAATGGTAGCAAAGGTGTCTCTGCCTGCAAATAGGCAAAAAGTGGGTGAAAATAGGGATTATTAATAAATCGTCTCGTCATTCAGTGCTACTATAAAAGGAATATTAATACTTTATACTTATTGTATTTTAGTTTTAAGTTCACCTAATAATTCATTAGGGCAAGTTTTTATTTATGTAATTAATACTTTATTTCATTTAAATCTGAAATTCACTTATGTAATTAATATCTTAGTGCAGATGGTGTGTTAACAATGCCTCTTTGGTAAGGCAAATCTCAGACCACTTTCATTAGGGCTCACTTCTTGGTTGCTATGCAATTTGCGCATAATCCAATTAGAGGACCAATTAGAAGCCCAAAATTCACAGTTATCTCAAATGAGGCATAACGCTCTTAGCATTTTGCGTAACCACAAAATATAGATTAACTAAATCTAGCCTTAAGTCAAAAGTGAGAAGAAATATTTTAAACATTTTCCATATACGCTCACACACACAATGGCTCAATCGCCATCATAGATATTTTCGCTTGATTATCTCAAGTATTGGCCATCCTCGACACAAGTGCATTCACTGCGCCGCAGCATCTGCTGGGCCCTAAGCTAACCAACATCAGCGCCCGTATCGGGAATCAGTTGCATAGCGACTTGGCTCTTATCGAATAATGAATACAAATTGCCTTAGCGTCGGTGTCCGGGTCTGGACATCCGCTTCATGGGTCCTAGCTCTATTTATAGCGCTATTGAGATAATTTAAAACGCAAGCCCAGACAGAGCCAACTACACATTTAATAGGGACACACACCCACATGCACCCCACACACACACACACAAACATTGGTTTGATTGCAATTCAGTTCAGGCGCATATTATAAGGTCCAAAGTTGCGCACCCCAACGTAGGGGCTACCGGCTGCCGACTGCCAACTGCTGACTGCTGTCTGCCGGCAACCGGCAGCCGGCATGTCCTTGGCCGGCTCTGAATCAGGTCAATTTTGTGGGTCGCAGAATGCTGTACACTGCATGCGCTATGCTGGTATACTATGTACGGCACATAGCGTATAGAGTAGTACGGGCTATACGCTACGCTAAACTGTCTACCGTAGACTATACTAGATATACTTTATACTATATATATTGCCGCACTACGCACACGCCCTGTGTGTCACATTCATTATTTTACACCCGTTTTGTGCGCTTTGCCGTTACTCGCCGACTCTGAGACAGGTCAACCAGTTAAATACCTAATTACCTGTTTGCACTCAGCATTTATCCATTAGCCAGCAAAAGTTGCTACAAGAGAGTCGTAAATAATTAACTTGTGAAACACCAAAGACAATATTTCCTAATTTGTTATCTAAGATATCGTGTAAAAATTATATGTAGATTAAAGTAAAAATATCTTCTCTATTTATTTTAAATATTTATATATTGAATTTAGAAAAAGATTAGTTAAACATATAATTTAAGATATATAAAATTTTTCGTCAATTAAATTTATAGATTATTAATTTAGTGTATATTTTTCTGGCTATAAGTTTGGTTTGTTTTTGCTATTACTTTAGTTTTGGTTTTAATTATATTGTGAATTTTTTAGTTTTATTATGTTTTTAGTCATAATGTCTCATCTTACTTCCCCTTTTATTAGCACAATTTGCAGGGTAAGCTTAGTCGCCATTAGTTCTCACTCCTATTCGCATAACGCTTTTAATCATATTGCCATCTTTTGACCAACTTCTTCAATAAGAATCTTGTCGGCCAAGTTGAAAGTAGAAAACTTTTGGAGCTGGTAAAGTTTTCGCCACTTATTTTCGTTTTTGTCCTGGCAAAGTCTGTCCAGAAAGGACAACACCAAACCCAAGCGTCGGTCCTTTAAGTACCCAACTGTCATCCTATACTTGTACATAGATACGTACTTATTTTGTATATATACATATACATATATATGTATGTATATACATACATATTTATAGTAATATAGTTGGTTGGCAAATTCCCACAAGTGGGAGCTGCGCAGCTCCACTTTCTACTCCCGTGAACCACTCCCGTGGTTTTTTGTTACAAACAGATGACTAAGATATATTTATATATAAGATAGAATTCTCGGCCAAGGTCGAATCGCTCAAAGTCTGCTCTGCATGTTTATAGAGACAGCGAGTTTGTTTAAATATCCTCTTTTTAAAATTTTTGTGAACTTGAAGGAATACAGTAAAATACAAGGTTCAGAGTATTACTTAGTCGCACATTGCTAACCATGATATCCTTATTTGTTTTTATTTTTTACATTTTACTGTCGCATGTGAGTGAAAACAGTAAAATGTGTTTTCGTTTTTCATTTTCCTGGTAGGCTAAGCAAGTCCCCATATAACCTATATAGAAACAAATATTCCTGCATATATGTGTATGTAGGTCTATCATATAAATTACTGTAGTCAATCAATTGTAGTCATATGGTCGCATTGAATATTTGATATGCTAAACATATGTTATTAGAGAACACGCTTGAGAGGAAACATTTTCAAAATGTTTACATAATATGTATGTCTATATATCATACATTTATAAGAGAACATTTTCGCAGGACTATATCTTGCTGTTAAATGTTTGTAGCTTGAAAACCAATATGGAGTATATTCATATATGCATGTGTATGTGTAACACTCTTCTCGACGGCCTCGGCACAAGGCTGCACGTAAGCGCACCTTGAGCAGGGGTAAAGTTATTGTTAAGCTGCCGTTATGCATAATGCATGCTGAGTGCTTTGCCATATCAATTTCATGTATAAATTAAAGAGCTGCACACACAAATAACAAAGGTGGAAATTCGATATTGTTTGGGTTTGGGTTTGCTTTGGTTTGATATTTGAGTTGCCTATAAATATGCAAGACTTTTGCCTAGCTAGCTGTGTGCTTCGATCTATTTATAGCACGAAAATGTTCGACAATCAGTTAAGCAAATAAGTTGGTTCATTTAACGGGCGATTGTTCACTACGATTGTTCGAATCGACTTATTGATATATTCGGCCTGCCACTTGTGCAAATAGTTTTGAAGGTTAATGCCAATTGCCGGCACTCGTTGTCGCTGTTGTTGTTGTTGTTGTTGTTGCTGTGGTTGTGGCAAGTCGTAAAAAACAAATAACTGCAAGTAAATGAACCTTTTCCCGTAGCTTTTCTTATATGTGGTCACGTGACAGTTCAATAAACTTCTCCACCCAGTGGAATCTGTTGAACCCAACCGAAACTCATTGCATAAGCGAAAAAAATGAACATTGCTCATGCGCCCCGTGGCGCTATTCATAATTAGCTATGGCTGCCCAACTTCAGGCCGACAGCTGATTTGATGGGCGTGTTAGGCTGCTGGGCGTGGCTGTGTACATTAACGCTCGCCTGTGGAAAGGTCATTAACTTGCCAGCAACTGCCAGAAAAGGCGTTTCCACAAAGTTGCTTAGCGCTAATTGTTTGGCATAAAGAGTTGTATAAAATCATAAGTGTGTCAAATTTAATTGAAAGATTTTATTTAAAGTTGGCCTGTTTGAGATTTTATGTTAATTAAAATTATATTTAGTCTACATCTCCTTCTCTGCGCTTCTCTAAGCAAAATTTATGCTGCTTGACCTCTAACAGATTTTCACGAGGCCTCTCTAGGCGCTTCTCATATAAACCGTGCTCATATTATGTGAAGTGTTTACGATTTATTTGATATATATTTAGATTGGCACTCAATAAAACCATTTCAGTAAATGCTCACTGGAAAAAATTCGTTTCTTTTTATATACTTGATTTTTATATATTATTATTTTTTTTTTTTTTTTGCCTAAGCTGTTAATGCGAATGAAACTTTTGCTGCGTGTCTCAATTGAAGTTTTCAATTGATTCCCAGCTGAAATTTATGCCTGTCAGTGCGTACATTTCTTACGATTTTCGCATTTTAATAAGCGCAAAAACCAAATAATCCGAGCCATAAATAATTCATAAGCAGCCTGCCGTCAGACTGACTAACGCAGCAGCGGCACATTCCTCAGACCTCCAGTCCCTCTGGACGCTCTGCGAGTTGACTGATGGGACTCACACCAAAAAATCACGATTGAGTGCGCTTCACACTCGGCTCAGCTGGCTAAGGTGCTACGTCTATACACATTTATATACATACTTATAGAAAATTATGTATATACATATTTTGTTTAGTTAGTTGAATAATAATAATATTGGTTGGGCCCCTAACTATTGGGGCGTGTTCCTTTTGAAGTTTCAGTCGTAAACACTCGAGCCTAGAGACTTGCAGGAAATTGATTTTCTTCTTTTCTTTGGTCTCTGGGGCCCTATTAAGTAGCATCTAATTTTATTAAGTACACGCCACATTGGCCATCGCAATGCCTCTTTGCTGGCAAGGACATGTGCGATTTGACTGTTTATTACGGCCGATAGCTCAATTCAATAGGCGGCTCAAATCAAGAGGATGCGGCACAAACAGTAGTTCTTGGAAATCCGGGAGCCATCTGGCCCTTATTGTGAAATGCAACTTCAAGTTCATGATGTGTTACATGCGCAATGTAATCAGCTTATATAAATATTAATGGTAATGAATAGTAATGAGATTATAAGGACAGCATCCGAAGCGCCCTTAGGAGATTGTTTACCCTCAATTTAGATCAATTTTGCCTACGCATACGCAATGCATGCTAAATACTTGTACAAATATTGCCTTACCCATACAAAATGACAACTTATTAATGGCGTGCAGGAGTCGCAGCTAACAAATAAAACAAATACAACATTTAAACAAAGTTTTTAAGCGCAGTTGAGGAAATAAATTAGCGCAAGAAATTTCCACGAAATCAAAAAGTTTGTATTCGAACATTTAACTATATACTTATACATACACTGCATATATGTATATGTATACATAAGTATTTGTGTGCTTCCACAGCTAATTAATAACTTGCAGCTCAGAGGACACAGCAGCTCATTCAGGAAGCAAAAGAGTTTGTTGTTGTTGTCGTTTAGCCAGGTAACATAAGTCGACTGC